AATTTATTGAAGTTTAAACTTAAAAAATAGCTGGAGGTAGCTAATTTGTATTAAAATGTTATAGAATAGTAAAAAAATCATGTGTTGACAGAAATTTTAAAATTCAGAGCTGAGAAACCTTAAATGCAAAGGTAGATTGTTGTTATCCACAAGCCTTTGGACGTTATTAGATTTAAAAATTCTTAATGACGTAGATGTTGTTCTGAATATGTCTGTGTGTACTTCAATGAGAGCTCACACAGCTGGTTAAAAAAATTCAGTCAAATTTACTTTTAGCCCTTTACTTTTGATAGTTTAAAACTATCTTCATGAAACCTAAGAAGGAAAAATATGGGAGCACCTTGTCATTTTCCACATTTTTATCAAATGACTAAAATATGAACTAGTTATGATTTTTTTCTGCTCAAAAATTTCCTAGCTTGTGAGATAGAGGACAAAGAGAAAAGAGAATCATTGCTGTTTGATATTATATAATCCTGACACATTAATTTCTTGCAATAAGAGTGCATTGCTTTATAGTTGAAGGGGAAAATATATCTATTATAAAACAGAAAAATTAAAAAAAAGATTCCCTTCTAAATCTTTGCCAGGATGAAATAGATATTTTTAGCCTAAGACTTACAAAGACAACCTAGAAATCCCTTCCCACTCTCTTGTTCCAGTGAGGTTCCTTCAAGACCCAACTCAAAATTCCTCTGTCCGCAGCAGAATTAGAGCACTCTTCTCAGGATCTCATAGCACCATGTAGTATAACAGCTTCTCCACTGTAAAATGTGGTCGGAGCAATAAACCATGAGTCAAGTCATGTTTTAGATTTAGGCATGACTTTCTCCTTTCTTTTCCCTTTTTCCTCTTCCTTCCATGCTTGTGTTTGACATTCAGAGGATTTCCAATGAATTCTTTCTGAATGAATTTACTTATAACGATTTGACAAGTTAATATCTTTTTAAGATGATAGAATTCATGTCTAGTGAATCAATATTATTAAGCTAGCTGAAACAGGGAAAAAGTCATTCATTGTGAGAAACACTGACTTCATCCTGAGAACCCTGAGAAGACTGCTATACATTTGCATACAACCTGGACTCTCAGCTAGCCTGCCTTCCTTCCCTCCCTCCCTCCCTCCCTCCTTTCTTTCTTTTTTCTTCATTCTTCTTTCAAATTCAAGGCCTCACACATGCTGGAACATGCGAGGCCAGTAGCTGCATTCTTAGCTCAGAATCCCAGCTTCAAAGTCACACAGACTAATTGTGTGTGGGGTGGAGGTGGCGTGGAGGCCAGAGGTTGAGCTGTATGTTTTCCTTTGTCATTCTCCGGCTTATTTTTGGAGACAAGATCTATCACTGAGCCTGGAGCTCACCAGTTTTGGAATAGTAGCCGATTAAAGAGTTCCAAGTGTATTCCTGTCTTCCTCTCCCCAGCTATAGGATTATGGGCATATGCTACGATGACACTAGGTTTTTACATAAGTGCTGGGAATGTGAACTCCAGTCCTCATGCTCACACAGCAAGCACTTCACAGACTGACCCATTTTCCCAGCCCTCAGGTTTCGTTTTTAACACTACCAGTTCCTAGCAGCATGACGTTTGACCAGGGCCTGAAGTCAGAGAGCTTTGATTTGCATAAAGGGCTGATAATGTTTATACTGGGGACAGGTTGAAAAAAAGCATATTACCCATCACAATGTCTGGCAAAACTCTATTTAAAAAAATATTTTGTTTTCGATTATGTGTATACACGTGTGTTGATGTGGATATGTGCACATGAGTGAAGGTGTCCACAAAGGCCAGAAGAGGTCAGATTCTTTGGAGCTAGAGTTACAGGTAGTTGTGAACCACCTGAAGTGAGTTTTGGGAAACAAACTCAGGTCTGCTGCAAGAGCAGTACACATTATTACTTGCTAAGCCGTCTTTCCAGACCCGGTTCTTGTGAATCTTTTCAGCTGACGTATTTCAATCTGTTATATTTGTTGCTACCATGGACTTTAGCGTTTGCTTATTCATACTAGCTGTCAATACTTGCTAACTTTTTCTTTTGATCATATAATACTCTCATGTTATTATTTAGCACTGTCCGTAGTATCTCACTCAGTGCTGGCTCACTGAGTTTTAACTATCAGATTAGAGTGGCACCTCACCAGGGAAAAAGAGAACGCTGGATTTGAAATTAAGATATCAGAAGAATTGGTAAGGAATTCCCCTTTCTCTGGGCCTTCTTAACTTCTTCACCTGTGAGAGTAAGGGAATAGGCTTCCGGAATCTTTTCCAGCTCATAAAGTATGCAATAATATGATTACATTACTGATTCTCTTCTGAAATAAAGGCTTGTACTCAGGTAAATCTGTATAGAAAATGCAGGGTCCAGGCAGGTTATCCAACAATCTGTTTGCCCAGAACCCTCCCAGATTTGCATCAAAAATCCCTTGTTCTGTGAATTCTCAGTCCTGGGGAAGTCAAATACATTTGATCTTTCTAGCTTTAGGGCACTTTGAGACTAACAAAAGGTATTGTTTTTCTTTGGTTGATGCTTGAATTTTATTTCTCTTGCTTTCTGCACTAACAAAAAAATGTTTGTTCTTAGGAATAGGGATGAATCCTGAAATTTGAGCTAAAATATAGAAAAACTCATAGTATGAAAGAAAGTCTCTTTCTCTGCATAATATTTAAATATAAATATCTAATCAGTTGCTGTGGAGAACCTACTATGAACCAGGAGCTATGTGAGGCTATGTTAAGGTTAGGTATAGCAATGATTCTGTCCCTGTCCCTAAGCTAGGTATGTATGGGGGGTAAGAATGGAAGAGGGATATAGGACATATACCTGGGGAAGGGTCCCCATAGGCCGCAATGCTTTATAATAACGAAACATGTCAGACTGCTCAGGAAAGAAAATGATGGCTACAAGAGATGGACTTTGAGGCACTCAAGATCTAGACTGACTATGAAAGGAACTAGAAAGAAAATTCGAAGGGTGATATTCCTAAGTATTGCTAAGCTTCTGGACCCCCAATTGCCATGGAAGCCACTGGGGAATGTGCAAAGAGATTGTGACATTAGTTTTACAGGAAAGAAAACCCTCCAAGACCTGAAAAAGGAAGTTTAAAGGATGACAGGGTCGGGGTGAGATTAAGGGAACCTGGGAAACGGAAATACTACCTGAAAGGACACTACAGTTTTCCCTCTCTATTTCTCCTCCTTTTTAAGGTTACCAGACCTAGCTTCTTGCTGCAACAGTCTTGTTTTGCACTTACCACTGCATTGGAGAATCTGACCTGATATAACGGAAAGGACACAAGAGTTAGAGATCAAAGAGGTCACTCTACCACTGTGTGACTTTGATGAAGTAAACTTGCTTTGTTGGAATTCTCTTTATTGCAAAATAAAAGCAAACACACCTACTTCACTCACTGAGTTGTTCTCAGAAGCAATGAGATAACAAAATTGTGTAAGATTTGCCTGATTAGTGACTGGAGGAATTGAGGAGCTCAATTAATGGTAAATTCCTACCTATCTTTTTGTAGGATTATGCTAATAGAACTGTTCCATCCATTCAAATGGCTTCAAAGAGATCTGTGGGTGTGGAGTAAGGAGAGTTGACAAACACAAAGGAAAATTAAGATGGATTTGGACCGCTCTTCACATCTTACTCAGAGACATCACCCTGCCCATCCCCTATATCTTGAATTTGTGTGTGTGTGTGTGTGTGTGTGTGTGTGTGTGTGTGTAGATCTAGCTCTATATCTTGAATTTGTGTGTGTGTGTGTGTGTGTGTGTGTGTGTGTGTGTGTAGACCTAGCCACTTTCAGGCCCACAAAGGACATGCTTCTTCCATGACATTATTTTCTGGGTGTGCAGTGCAGGTAGCATGGCTAGCAATGTAGAGGAATCTGTAAATACTATAGAGGTGACTTTTAATTATCCTATATGTGTTGAAAACTGGTCCCTGCCACCCTGCTCATATTCTCTAGGAAGAACAGTTAGTAGGCAGGAATTCTAGGGCAAATTCTTCTGCTTCAGGGAATAAGACCATGCATGCCCATTTATAGGGAAGGAGTGGGTCACCAAGAGGTCTCATTACCTGATCCGTGTTCTTTGTTTGATTAGCTTCTGGAGTCCAATAAGTTTGTCTTCAAAGCTGCTCAATATCTGTCAGTGCTCCCTGTTGTAGGAATTTCTCCCTCCCCTCACCCCTGCCCTCAGATTCTACCAGTCTTTCCATTTCCTCCCAGTTTCTCCAAAATCCTCTTCTCAGTCTTGCCATTGCTTACCTCTAACCCCCCATACTTTACCCAACCCCAAGTTCAGGTTCTTTTGATTTTCTCCATCCCTGTCTACCCACATTATCATCTTTTGACCTGTCATTACACCTGTAATGCACAGGACCTAACAAAAACCTTAAGCCTTTTCTGATTCCCTCTCTCCTCTCCCTCCCTCCCTTCTATCCCTCCCTCCCTCCCTCTCTTCTATCCCTCCATTCCTCCTTCCCTTCTACCCCTCCCTCTATTCCTTCTATCCCCCCTCCCTTCTATCCCTTCTATCCCTCCCTCCCTTCTACCCCTCCCCCTTTATCCCTTCCTCCCCCTTTATCCCTCCCTCCCTTTTGTCCCTCCCTCTATTCTGTTTATCCCTCCCTTCTATCCCTCCCTCCTTCCCTCCCTTCTATCCCTCCCCCTTCTATTCCTTTCTGTCTCCCTTCTATCCCTACATCCCTCCCTTCCTTCTATCCTCCCCCTTCTATCCCTTCCTCTCTCCTTCTGTCCTTTTTCTCCCTCCTAATTTACTGTCCCCATGCCCCTACCTTAGTTAATCCAAGAAATAACTCAAACACAAGTAACAACTGCCAATGTTTATTGATTATTTCAAAATATCACTTGCAAACTAATTTTTATTGAAAAATGAAATTTTATGATAAAGGCATCTTGGTAAGAAAAATAGAATCAATCTAACAGCTACACTTTTCAATATTAGTTTCTAATATCTATTCTCATGCATATTGTTAATAAAAATTGTAATAAAAAGAGCCCCACATAATATGCAGGATTCAAAGGGGGAGGCATGCAAGGTTGATGGATAAAAGCAGCTCAAAGTCGTCAGGTTTAATCCATGATCCAAGAGGCAGCGTCGTTGTACGGGTAGCCTTAGTTTGTAGCCAGAGGTTCAGTGGAAGATTCAGAGAGCAGCAAATGCTGATGACAGCTGAGGTAATAAGACAGATGGCCAGAAATCACTAGGACCCATGATCTACCCAGCAATTATTTCATCCCGACGTCTTCGATTCCACCTGTGTCTGAAGCAATTGTAATGACAATAATGTGATGGAAAGGACACAGTTCGGGTACTCCACTCAATGTTTGGGTCGTGTGTCTCAAGCCAGTGGATTCCAAGAATCAAGGGGTATCTCGGTGCATGAATGATGTCAAACTGGAGCTCTTCAACGTGGTTTCCAATTTTGACTTCAACAGGTGGCGTTTCCTTGGTTATGGGTCCATTAATCAGTGGACGACCATCGACCGTTTCGAGCATCAGAGGGAAGATGTTGTTGCGGATGGGCAGCTTCTCTCGAAGAACCACAGAGCGGTCGATGCTGTTTCTGTAGGAGCCTGAATCCACCATCGCTTGCTCAAAGAACTGCCGTCTTCCCAGTCGGATTTCAACAGTTAGCCATAGGATACGGGACATAGATATTGGGAGAGAGGGGGACGCATATTTGTAGACTGGCCCGCCCGGGGTCCCCCTTACCGCCGGGCCTCCATGTTTCCCGCCTGTTGGGCACGATGAGGCTTGACAGGGCAATCTCTGGCGAAATGACCAGGATGGCCACAGTAGAGGCACAAGTGGCCTTCACGACGCCTGGCACGTTCAGCTTCACTGAGGTGGGGGCGGTTATTTGTAGCTTGAACAGGCTGGTTTTCAGCTGGTGGGCTCTCTGGTCCATTTCTGTCTTCAGAAAGGCTTGGCCCTGATGAACTGGAATCAGCCTTGCCACTTCTCTTCTCTTCAAGGCCGATGCACTGAATGATCACATCAGATAGGTTATTGGCTGAACTTGTGCGAGACAGTTCATTTTGGACAGAATTGGCAAACTCTTCTTGAAACTGAATGCACAGAGTGCTTTCATCCAAATTTAGCTCCTGAGCAATGAAGTGGAGGTGGGCTGCATATCTGTGGACAAGGCTCTCTCTTTGGCCTAGCTGACGAAGGTGGTGCTTGACAACTTCCAAGTTACCTGGATTGTCAAAAGTATCCTGGAGCACTCGCATGAACCTTTCAAATTGCTCCAGCAGGGGGCTTTGGCTGTCTACTAAGAGCTGGAACCACCTCCCTGCCTCACCCAAGATGCGGCTGGCAACAAAGCTCACTAGAGCTGCCTCAGTGAGATACAGGTGCCCTCTGATTCTCATGTAATCATTCAACTGACCTAAGGGCTTAGGGAGTTTCTGAGAATCCCCATTGAAGGCCAAAGGGTATTCCAGAGGAAAAGGTGCAGCCTCTAATTCACTGTGGGCCTGTGGAAACTCTGAAGCTCTTCCTGTTTCCACTACTATTATGCCCTCCAGGGACTCCTCAGGTGCTGAGAGTTCTAGGAACTCCTTGGCATCTGAAGGGTCCAGGGGCTCCTGGGGCACCCAAGGCTCCAGAGGCCCCTGGGTAACTGGATGTTCAAGGGACTCCAACTGTGATGAGATCGCCTGGTATTCTGAAACCTTCTGAGGCTCCTCATCATTTGCAAGGTCATGGGGTTCTGAACTCTGGAGTTTCTTGACTGCTGGGACACCCTGGGTGTCTGGGGACCTTGTCTTCCAGACTGCTGGGAGCTCATAACCCACTGGAGATGCCTGGGGTTTCTGGGTTGCTGGGGCCTCCAGGGGCTTCTGAGCCTCCTGGGGTTCCCGGGCTGCTGGAGGCTTCCAGGCTGAAAGGTCCTGAAGCCCTGTGGACTTGTGGGCCTTCTTGGCCTTTGCAGTCTCCTGGAGCTCCCAGGCTGCTGTGGGGTCCAGGGGCACTGGAGGCTTCCAGGACTCGTTGACCTCTGGAAGCTCCTGGGATTCCTTGATCTCTGGGGGCTCAGAGCTTTCCTTAATTGCTGAAGGTTCCCTGGGCTCCTTGATCTCTCTGGGTTCCCAATGCACCTTGAACTTTGGGGATCCCTGGAACTCCTTGGACTCTGGGGGTACCCTGTGCTCTGTGATGGCTGGGGGTCCCCAGGGCTCCTTGTTCTCTGGGGGCTCCCGGGGCTTCTTGATCTCTGGGGGTCCTCTGGGTTCTGTGATTGTTGGGTGTTCCCAGGACTCCTTGGTCTCTGGAGGTCCCCTGGGCTCTGTGATTGCTCGGGGGTCCCAGGAATCCTTGATAGATGGCAGCTCTTGTGAGGCCCCAGCTGCTGGGGGTTGCGGGGACTCTGGGAACTGCTGGGGCTCTTGGGCCTCTGAGGGCTTTTGGAGTGGTTCATTCTCTGTGGCTGCTCCGGACTTCTGGAGCTCTGGTATCTGGGCCTGGAGGGCAGCATTTTCTTCCATCAGCCTCTGCACTTGGGCCTGCAGAATTTCATTCTCCAGTTTCAGAGCAATGTAGGAGGCTGCTAAGTCCTCTACCATCTTTTGAAGAAAGGGGCCTGGCTTGACAATTTGCTACCAAGAGAGATTGGGTAGCAGCTTGTGAGGTCTTTCCTGAAAGCGGCTCACAGGCAGACGTCAGGCTCCGTGAGTTTCCAAGGGGTGGGGATTTGGACTCTGCAAAGGCTGATTACCAAGAGGTCACTGGGAGCCTCCGGAGCTCAGCACAGGGAGGTGTCAGCTACACTGTGAAGAGAGTAGGAGCCGAGGATCAGAAACTGTGGACAGCACTCATTCCTGTAAATCAACAATCTGTCCTATTGTGCTGGGGTTTTTACTACAAGCTCATGCTCCTGAACTGACTGTATATACTGGCTCCGACCCTGTGACATTTTAAGAGCAGCACATGACCCAAACTGTGCATGTCATTTTGCATTCTTATTTTGAAACAACACATCAGAAATAACTTCTCCATATTCCTTTATTTTACATAGTTTTTAATTTTGAATGTCTGCCCAAAATTTCAATGTAACATTTGGATTTTTAGCAGCTGCTTTCAGTGACTAAATCAGATATTTAGATCAAAATGGTGATTTTAGGCTCTGTGGTGGGCCAACCCAAGAGATATTTTTAGGTAATTAGCATAAGAGGCAGGGGAGAATTCTTTCTGACACCTCAGAAATCATAACACACCAGTAACTGCACATGACCAGACTCAGGAGAAAGCAAGGAAAAATTGAATATATAGATATATACATATCCAGCATACACATGCATATTATTTATAAAATGTCACAAAATAGTTAACAAAATAATCTTTATAAATGTACATTACCATTCAGAGATTAGGAGCTCGCTGTCTGTGTACCCATCGCTGAGGAGGGAAGTGTGTGAATGGCTGTGGAGGCTTGCCTTTTCTGCACACACTGAACTCAAACAAACACACCCACTCCCAGAACACGTTCCAACTCTCCTCTGTAACGTAGCTATTTTGAGTATGGAAGAGGACTTATTTTTTTTTTTGACAGTACCTCACAGTTCAGAGCTACAAGGAAAGTAGGATGCTATGCAGACATGAAGCAGCTTCATGTAGTCAATCCTTGGTTACTTTAATAAATATTAAATATTTTGCCAGGAAATTGGGAGTAATACCACTGCCCTTGTGAAAAGTTGCAAACATTTCTGAATGACCACAGTGGTTTGGGACTTGATTTTTTTAATGTCTGTCTCACGTAACTTACCCTTACTCTATCCACACTGGGACATTTGTTTAATTCTCACTTAGAGAGCAACCTACAGCCTCCTCAGCACCTTTTCCTGACCACCTACACAGTCCTGAGGGTCCCTGGTTGCAATGTTTTTTTTTTTAACTTTACCACGGACTTATCTATGCAACTTATAATAGTGTAAGAACATAGGAGAAACAAACTTTTGGTGGGTGCTTGCGGCAGCCTGCTGTGGCCCCTACATGCTTCTGAATGTACTGGCCCAAGGTTCTCCTGTTTCCTTGAGCTGCTCAGGTACTTCAGGCCACGCACAGGTACCTTACTGTGACTGTCATCTGCAAAGTGATCGTGCTTTATATTTGACTTTGTCTTCTTATGCCGGATTATAGTTTTATCCTGGGCATGGACCATGAGGTCATATTAAGGCAAGGCTTGGGGGAAGTTATTTTCATTGGAGTAATGAATGGGATTGGGTTGTATAAAACTACTTCTAATCGCATATCTAATCACCTATGGTCCTAAGTCTCTTAAAAATAGTCAGAGCCACAGCAGGAGCATAATGGTATAAACCCTATTGATGGACTAGTCCTAAAAAAGAACAAGTTAATAGCCTGGGCTAGCAAAATCTGAATGCAGAGGCTTTAAGAAGAAAAGTAAAATCTCTTGCAAATTGAGTTTATTCCCTGCCTAACTTGCAGTTATTTTAAAAAATAAGCCACACATGAAAATACCACAATTATCAGACAATGCTTTGTTTTATTTATACAAATTTTCCCAGACACTGAAGCATTCTTTACTATTGAGAAGAAAAAACATAGCTGATGTCGCCTTCACCAATTAAAAAACATCAGGGAGGTAGTTACAGTTTTGGCATATGTTACATTTCCTTATCATTAGTAAGTAGATGATCTGAAGCATAATTTAACATATTTTAATTGCCTCAGGTCCATACTTACACAAAGTGGCTAGTTTCACTGTTGTGACATTATGCTGCTCTCTGTTAGCTACCAAGAGTTATAAAGCAGCCTGTCTCCAATCCAAAGCTCTCCAAATTGCTATGCTCTCTAGCTTCTTGGACTTTTTTCTGTACACAAAATAATCTTTTGCTATTAAATAATGTTCTACACCATTGCTTTTATGCCTGTCTACACTAAATTTATACAGATTGGTAAATATTTCAGTCTTTCTAAGATTTAGAGTCCGAAACTCAGTTTGTGGAACTGTGAAATGGAGCAAATAACACTATTTAACTTTCATGGGGCTGTACAAAGAATCAGTGAAATATCTAGGCATGGTAGTGCATGCTTGCCATCCCAGCAATTGGGAGACAGAGGTGGAAGGATCTGGAGCTCAAGGTCTCCATGGTTACATAGTGAGTTTGAAACCAACTTGGGCTATGTGAGACTCTTAAAAAAATAACAAACAACAACAACAACAACAACAACAAAATCCAAACAAGCAAAGAAACAATGAATCAGTGAAATAACATATCAGAGCATTTGGCAGCTAACCACAGTTAATAGAGGTTAATAATAAGAGGAATAATCTCCATAGCAACAGTAACAATTTTAATTTATTCCTTCTAATCATTTTTGAATTATGAAGCTGGATAGGTAAACTTTCCAGAATTGTTACAGGTTGAACAATGAGTCTCATATGAAGAAATTTACAGTTCGTAGATTTTACAGCATTAATTTTTCATCACTCAGGAACTTTTATCTTTTCTTCCTGGTTGGGTCATGGATCGTTTACTTTGCCAAATAATTTTCTTGAATTAGAACTGGAGGCATCTAAGCAGGAAGATGAGGTGATTAATATGGGGGTTGTGGAGCAGCCAAGATAGATGTTTAAAAAGTCCATGGACTAAAGCACTGAATAGTGCCTTGCCTAGGGGCATATTTATTCAGTGGGTAAACACAGGGACCTTTCTTCCCAGACTCCCCTTCACTAAAGAGTAAAGACCAAATTTCAACGTCCTTAAGTACAAGTTCCAAACTGCCTAAACACAGAGAATTATTCTCTTTCGAGTGGAAAAAAAAGAGCTACACTGACTTTTGTCAAAATGCCTAAAGTGGTTTTAATATCCTGAATTAGTCAAGTAAGAATAGGAAAGTAAGAATAGGAAAGTACTCACATCCAAACTTTCGCCATGTTTCCCTTACACTTTAATCCTTCTTCTTACACTCACAACATGATGGAATTTATGGAGTCTTTAGAATGGTTATGAAAACATTTTAAGCAGTGAAGTTTTGTTAAGTAGGCAAATGAATATTTCAGGAAAAAGAAGACAAGTTCATTTAACAGGTATGCAAAGTCTGCACAATAATAAGAAATGATCATGCTCAGTTATGTTAATAAGTTACATATGTTGATTGTTACTTAGGAAGAAAGAGTAGGGGAAAGTTAAATGAGATGAAATTCTACTATTTACATCCCAACGAGAAGCATAATTTTATTTGATTGGTAAATGTACAATCTGAAAGATTTTAGATCTCCACCAGGGTCTTCATCTTTCACAGTTCTGCATCTTTAAGCAACTCAAGTTCCAGCCTTTCCCTCTTTTCACCCTATATAGAACCAACAGGACAGGTTACCCCACAGGTCTCTGGCACAAAGCCCAGTTACCCCTTGGGGGCAGTCTCACCCTGGTGTCTGTTGTGTTCAACATGTTATTCCTATGATTACGTTAGAGCTTGCAGCACTTTCTTAAATTTAACCCATCGTGTGCTTAGGACAGACTGAAGCCTTTTTATTGTCAGTAACACACCAAAATATAGTACCAAGGCAAGGAAAATCACTAATTCCTTTGGATGTTGAAAGGTCAGGCAAGTATTCTTTTCATAAACATGATTGGGATTCTGATTGCTCAGCAATAGAATGGAAATGGATTCCACTTAAGGACAGTTCTAAGGAAGTCAAAATATGTTACACTTAAGTCTCCCTTTGTGGCATGCACCATCTCATTTTATTTCTCACCCCATACTTAAGAAAGCTCTCTACTTGATCTGCTGTCACCTTATGAATGTAAATCCCCACTGCAATATTCTACTTCATAAGGCTGTAAAGGGAAATTTCTTGGAAGTGTTCACATTTTTTGTAAGATGTGAAAGACTAAAACTCCTTCAGGACCTTTCTGTTTGTTATGAGAGATATTCTGGGATAAAGAGATCTTTTTGGAATTCTCCAACTCACACTACGTAGGTGACTTTAGTTTTGCTTTCTTTAAAAAGTGTATATGGTATAACAGCTAGCATTAGCATATTTGCTTTATGTTTCAATTTTATGGCTTCATTGACCTCTGTGGATGTGCTGAGCTTGATGTCTTAGTAGAAATCGCAAGCTTAGACAACTATCACTGCAGCCTAACAAGGGGACAGGAAGGTTTGTCTATTATACCACTCCTGGAGATGACCACATTGTGGGAGTCTTACCTTTTCTACTTTCTGGCCCTTACTGTCTCATGTTTTCTAATATTGCTTCACTCAGAAAGCAAACCAAGTCATACTGATTGTACCACCAAGGCAAGAGGGAGAAGGGAGTGGAAAATAGGGAGGAAAAGGAAGTAAGAAGAAGCGCGGATGCATGGGAGTGGACGGGGGAGAGAGGCTTGGGAAGGAGAGGGGAAGAGAGAAGAAAAGAAGAGAAGAAAGGATGAAAGCTTAGGAAGAAGTTTTAAAAAGTTCAACAGATGTATGTTTTGGTCACTTAAAGATTAAAGATTTTGGCTGGGCATGGTGGTGCTCACCTTTAACCCCAGCACTTGGGAGGCAGATGCATGGCAGATCTCTGTGAGGTCTGGGGCATCCTGGTATGGGCTACATACATAGTGTGTTCCAGACCAGGTGGGGCTACATATTGATACCCTGTCTAAAAAAAATCCAAAAACCAAACCGATAATAGATTAGAAATGACTTTTTAGTTTATTATTATAAAATTATGTAAAAGAAGATTTTATTTATTCAGTGCTTAGGCTTATCTGCAAAGCTCTTAATCAGGCCATTGGGGGGTTATATGTCATTTTCAGAGTTTCAGAGTCTTGAAAAGGAGGTGAAATGCTCAGCGAGATTGGAGAGGACAGTGGGAGTATAGGGGTGGAAGATGCAGGAGTGAATGGGGTACTGAGGAGTACCCAGCTCTGCCAGTTTTGCTCCTGTGCTTTGTAGAACATACTAGACAGTAGTTGGAGAGTGCTTTTGAGAAATGTGCTATTGGAAAGAGCACAGGCTTTGAGGTAAGGCAGGTCTAGGTCCAATTCCCAGCTCTGCTTTTTACTAGCTGTGTAATCTTGGCCAAGTTGCTTACATTGTCTGAGATTCATTTACTCATCTGGAAAGTAAGAGATAATAATAGGTAATTACTGAGTTGCTATGAAGACTAGAAACAATGCTAGTATCTAAAAATAGACATTTGCTGAGTTGTAGTGGATGATAAAAATCACATTGCTAGTTCAAACGATTGCCACTGATTTTCATGCCAGTTTATCGAGTGTATCTAAACAAAATTCCTCTCAACTGTTTATATATAAACTGAGCATATGATTACTTCAATATATTTTCCTTTCCATATAATATATCTACATTCTTTCCTTCCCACTCTCTTTCCATAAATATTATTGAGCATCTAAGTTACGTACATA